TTTTAAATATGGTATAAACTCACACATCTCATACAATGTATGTACTAAAATTATTTGACTACTGAAATATTGTTTGATAAAAAAAAAACGTTTTTTAAAATGAATATAGGTGGAATTGAATCCTCGACTTCCTACATAGGAAGAATGTGCTGTGCCACATGAGCCAAAGTCCAAAGATCTTTTTCACATATGCAGCATTATTAGGTGGAATACTATATATACGTATATATATATATGAGAACACATATATATATATATATGTTTTAAATATACATTTCCTTTAAATAATACTGTTATTGTATTATGTAGTTGAACATTAATGAAACCAACCTATTAAGCAGAACGTGGAGTTGAATTTAGATTTAAAGTAAATAAATGTAAAAACATGGAATGACTATGAAGGAAATATATCTCTGTACACAACGTTATTTGTATAAATACCTTGTCTTTCTGGATGATTGACATTTTTGACTAAGATCTTGAGATTTTTTCTCAATCCAACTCTTGATAAAGCAATGTTACAAAATCGCAAATTTCTAAAAATCATAGTATCAAGAAGTGTAAAAATCAATATCTTTGTTTTTTGCTATTTTACTTATTTTTCTTCTTCATTCCATAATGGTATCAACTCTTTTTTACTCTCCCTTAAAGTATTAACAAAGTGTCAATTCTACTACTACTAATAATGGATATGGTGTAATACTGTGTTCTCCTCGTGGGTAAACTAAACTCATTCTTCGTGTACAAAGCATATTTAAACTTTAGGCCTAGTTGTTAATTTCTATGTGCCTGTATTGAGATAGTTGGAAATACATAATAGTTACAAAATAGTGAATTATTAAAATTATGGGATCAAGAAGAGTAAAATTCATCTGTCGTCATGTGTTGTTTCTAAATTTCTTGAGTGTATACATATCCAAATTGCATTTGTACATCACCTGACACCCATACTTATTTCCTTTTGCACAATGTTTAGCTGTAGAACATCCAAAGTGAATGAAGTTGTGGCAGTAACTATTAAAGCTAATTTTAGTAGATTATGTAGCAGGTAAACTTGTGCTTCGCATACAAAACATACTTAAACTTTGAGCATAATTGTTGATTTCTCGGAGTCTGTTGGAATTGTTTTGAGATATAATGGTGTTGCATTACTTATAAGCAACAGAAAGGTAAAATTAACATAATGTGTATCCTTGCACATTTGTTTATGTTACTGAAATAATTGTCTTTAATGTTATAAATATCATAGTGTAGAACAATGCATATTAAATGTTCACTTTTGTACTTGTATAAACATAAAAGTAGCACTGTACAATTAGCCAATAGGAATATTGGGTTAACAGGTGTCCAAGCACTCATACAAGCACAGACTGATTGATACACATTGTTTTATTAATTACATAGATGCAAAGCTTCATTGTTGTTTTATATATGTATAAAAATTAACAGTAAGACATTTTCTTTGGAAATATTATATTTTAAATACCTGTTTTATAAACTAAGATATTATAAATTTAGCTCCAAACAGTACTGTATATATTTGTTATTAAGTGCAAAGCTGCAAATTAGATCATCTGAACCCTGCCCAACTTTAGAACTAAAAACCAATTTTTAGTGTTATAAACCTTTAAACATATTGCTGAGCCACCACAGAGCAACAGTGTCTTATAAGAAAAATTAATATTTTGATACAACAAAATGTAAACTGTACCCACCTGGTGTCACTGAAGAGAAACTCCAAATGAGTCATATATATATCCCATAGAGAAAGGCCATACTTATGAGCAAGTGATACAGCTACTTGAAGAACTGGCTTTTCTAATGTCCTGAAAAATAGCATTTTATTTATTTATTATTTACAAATACTATCTGTAAGCACACATCAGATAACTTAGGGTTGTACATTCAGAAAATCACCGAGAATAAAACAAAAACAAACTATCTCCCACCTATTTTCATGAGACTTTGAAGTAAATTCTATCTCTTAGCTGGGAATTCAAAATAATTATCAATAGAACTAACAAGAATACTTACTATATTCAAAGTAGTCTATAAAAACAGCTCTTTAGATTTACTTAGCTCTTAAGTGCCCAGGTATATGGACTCAAAACAACTGTTATATGGTTTGTTTTATAGCATCTAAAAAAAAAACAATAGTAAATGAAATAGTTTGAATCCTGATATGAACTTTCTACAGATTATGTGGTTTCAGCAAAATAAAATATTCAAATGCTGCCATATTCCTATAAACTTGCAAATTTAAAAATTCAAAACAATTTCATTATGATGTTTTTAACAATGAATAAAAATGCTTATCTTTGTTGTACATTTCAATCACTGTGTTTTATGTCTTTCCAAATTCTTTTCAATAAAGTTTCTATTTCATAAAACTGTAAATTTCAGTTTTCAAAAACACCATGAGCAGTCTTACAGTATACAGTATTTACAATCACTGCTGTACCATAAAAATAGCATTTGTAGCATACCAAAATTATAAGCAAGCTAATGTTTTTAATTTTTAATCAGGTTTCATTTAAACATACAACACACCTTATATTTATTTAAATATATTTTATAGTTCATTTTGGTGACTTTCTATGCCCATTCAAGCAGTTACTTAAGGCTAACTTGATACAGTAAAGGACAAAATGACCTAACTAAGCCTACTTAATCTTGTTTCATGAAAACATTTCTTTTTCTATTATATTGCAACATCAATAATTCAAATGAAGTTCTAAATAATAAAACAGGCATTTCACAAACTTTAAAAAAAATATCATGACGGTAATTGTGATGGAGGTTGTCCACAAGCATCTTTTCTTCTAGCAACATATCACCAAACTATGCTTTTATCACTTTCTCCAATCTTTAAAGAAGTTTCTACTGAACTGGAAGCCATATTGACTTGCAGAGTGGAAAAGAAAAGAAAGATATTTCATTACATGTTTAGATAACTAGCTTATGACTTCTCAAAGCTGAGATATAGGTGATTATATCACACCATGAACAACAAATATTTAGAAATGGTGAATGGTTAAAATCAATAAAACTACACTTATACTGAAGTTAAGAGATTCAAACATATGTCAAATTTCCTCCTATGGGACTATGAGTGCTAAAACAAATACTGGAAATTCACAAACCCTAACATTTTCATTCAGAAAGTCGATTAAAATAAACCCAAAATGAAAATCTGTTACTTTTAAAAAAATGTTTATGCATAGAATAAATAAAACTTAATTATATGCTGTAATTTTGTCTTTGAGCAATGTGTACACTCCAGTGGATGCTAAAGAGTTAAAAGTATATATTTGTGGTATGTAAGCATGCCACACATTTCCTGCCTTCTTATTTTAATGTATAATTTTTGAAATTTGTAAGTTATTCGAGTGTATGTGCAGGTTTCACATAAAATGTGGTCAAGAAAGTCAAGTAGTTACAAAGAAGAGAATATAATAATAGTATTTCAGCCATGCTATATTTGTCATATCCAAGAACTTATAATTATAATTCTTGAAAATCCCTAAGGAAGTACACAATGATGCTTCATCTGCTTGGGAAAGGCATTCACACTACAACAAAACAAAGATAAGTTGTAAGGGCTATTTTTCTTGCCAATGAACAAAATTGGTATACCTTCCAGTTTCACCACTTCAGCAATTCACTGTGAAAGAAAATTCTAACAAATGAACAATCTGTTGAAACTTCAATTATAACACTTACTGGCTGACTGGGCTTAATTCTTACATTATGCTGCCTCAAGCTATGACTTATTTATGCTTATGATAGGTTCAACCTCAATCACGTGTTTTCAAGATTATTGCAAAGAATACATACAATTATTTAAAAGTTTGGTTACAATTAGAACTGATCTATTAAACTTACATGGCTAATCCTAAAATAGTTTCATGTTTATAAATATCGTCCTGAGTGAATCTTGCCACATCTACCCCACCACCATATGTCTTTAGAATCTCAGCTTGAATAAAATCAGACAACAGCTTGTTGTATTTCCTTAGAAGGGAGGCACAAATTTTAAGTTTTTCAAAGTTGGTTACTTCATCAGTATGTAAAACATGGACTGCCTGGAAAGAAGAAGAAAGACACTGTTACATTTAAAACAAATACTAACATTTATTGTACATGGACTAACTGGAAACAGAAAGATATGTTTCATTTATAGCAGAACCAATACCAAGATTTATTGTATATCTAGGCATTTTTACAAGGCACTTCATAACTACAAAACATAGATGACTGACGTGATCACTCCAATTTTGCACATTGTTAAGTAACAGGCTTTTTACAATTCTTACACGGTCAACCGATGACACAGATTCAGATTTTAAGCTGGAACAAAGTTGACATATGTTATTGGGAAGTGTTATGTTGACAACAGAAAAATATTCACTATTATGATCTGCTTCAAAAAATTATAAAAAAACAATAAAAAAAGATTCAAGTTTTAAGAATAATTTTATGTTTACTTTATATTTTATTGATAACTTCTTCATAATTCTTGAATTTCAACTTTACACCCCTTGTTGCTGTAAGAACTCATTTTTCCCCCTTAATCTTGAAGCTTTTTTATCATTAGATATATTTTATAAATCATTATTATTCAACACATTTAGTGTTTTGTTATCTTTAAGAACAAAAACATGATTATGTATTACTAAAAAAAAAATCTTGTCACACATATCTAGCTTCAAGTTTTATAACATTCCATAAATGGTTCTATGAAAGAGTTGAAAGTTCATATACTTTTTGTATTATTTGCTATTATTCTGATGTTATTGGTTTAAATCAATTGCACCTTTATATAAACACCCATTTACTTCTAAATTAATAAGGTACAAAGCAGAAATGTAATCTTATATGTCAGGTACTTAGTTAAAAGCACAAGTAAAAAAACACTGTAAATAAGAACTATGGTTCAAATAAATAAATATTCCAAAATTTATTTAAGTGTAACAACTGTAATACATGAGAAGCATTAATTAGTAGTTTCATTAGACAATAACTATGGATAACAACAGTTTACAGCATACAATTATATAAAATAATAACAACACCCAAAAGTATATAGCAAAAGTAAACTAAAAAGCTCAAATGGATACATAAAAGGTAGTCAGTATTATTTACCTGTTTTATAAGATAGCTTGGACTGTAAATGTACAAATCCTCAGGTAGAACTGTTATAGGCTGAAGATTGGCATACAATTGAAGAGCAAAATAATAACAAGCTAATTGAAGCACCAGAGCTGTTCTCGGAAGTCTTTTGAAAAGTTCTTCGGCTTCTTCAGGCTATTAAGAAAAAACATAGGGAGAGTTTAAATTATTTTAACTGAAAAAGGTACCAAACCTGTACATATAAACTTCACAGATTTAGCATTTCTGTAACTTTTAACCTAACAGTAATAAAAATCTTTCAAGAATTGACAGGAAAGGTTTAAGAATTTATAAAAGTAATATCATTAAATTATTCAGCAAGGATTTATGAGGAACACAATGGCAGGTTCTGTACACAAAAGAATTAAGGTGTAAAGTGAAAAAGATTTTAAGAAACTTCATCAAGTGTAAATATCTGTTCAATTTATGTAAATGTATAAACTTAGACATCTGGTACTTCTATTTCTATGGTGCAGCAGTGAGAACCAGTTTAATATCTAATGATGGGAAAGGTATGTCTGTGTGTGCTGATTGATGAGACAATGAGAAGGTTTCCCATCACAAGAATAAAGGTGGACACTCCATACTATGTGAGAGAACTTGAGGTCATTTGTATGAAAGCACCCATCTAGGACTTGGTAATTGGCAATATACCAGGCAATAGAAGTTTGGAGGAACCAGACAGAAATGAGACTGACAAGGTATCTGCAGTCACCACAAGAGCTCAAGAAAAGCAAAGCAAGCAAGACATCAAGCCTCTAAAAGTCTTGAAAGGTGACATCCCGAATGTAGATCAATAGGAACTGAAGAAAGCACAGAAGAAAGACCTTTCACTACAGAAATTCTGGGACAGTGCCAGGGAGAAAATATAGCATGTGACAAAGGGGAAAGGGATTTACAGAATAGAGGACCAAAAGGGAGTGCTGTACCATGCAGTAGAGTAGCTGTGGACTTGATCAGACCACCAACACCTATATCTGACAAGGGCTACCAGTACATGCTGACACGAGTCAACTATAATACACGTTACTCAGAAGCCATAGCACTGCTGAAGATAGAGTATCAGAAGCCCTCCTGGAAGTGTTTTGCAGTATCTTGAGTTACAGGGGGACCCAGTTTACCTCAGAACTGATGCAATAGGTGTGCAGACTCATCAGTATTAGGCAGCTCTTTATCACTCCATACAACCCCAGATGTAAAGGACTTTGTGAGAGAATAAAGAGAGTCTTAAAGAGCATGCTGAAGATGATGTTCCAGGAGAGACCATGTAACTAGAACAGGTACCTACTGGCAGTATTATTTGCTTACCAAGAAGTCCCACAAGTGAATACAGGATTTTCACCCTTGGAGTTACTGTAAGGAAGAACGGTACAAGGTCCAATGCAAATATGGAAAGAACTGTGAATAGGAACATATACCAGTACATGTTAGACCTCAGAAACCGACTGAAGGAGACCTGTGAACTCACTCAAGAAAGTTTGTATGCAACTCAAGGTGGTCAGAAGCACTTCTATGACAAGAAGGCCAAGGATCAATGTTTCAAGGTCGGACAGAAGGTCTTGATTCTGCTACCCACAGACACCAAAAAACTCACCCTGCAGGGGAAAGGACCTTTTGAAGAGGAGGAAGTGGTCAACAGAATGGAATATAAGGTGAAAGTGAATAGGAAGACCAAGATCTATCACACCAATTTCTTGAAGAGGTACTTCAAGATGGAAGAAGATCCCATGGTTACAGCTATTGAGGCACAGATGGACATTGCAGGTGTGTTTGTCATAGATACTGAACCAGAAGACAGTGACATTGTCACAGAAGACAAATCCTACTAGATCTAAGAAATCTTCGTGGAGACGAGAAAGTAAAAAGAAGTCAACATCAGTGAAGAACAGACTGGCAATAAGAAGAAGGAGCTATAAAATCTACTGTTCCAATATACAGATGTCTTCACATATAGACCAGGCAAGACAGACCTTACGTAACACAACATTGAGACCAGGAATCCAGTCAAGGAGAAGCCTTACCAGAGATCTGATCAGGCAAGAAGTTAGGGTAATGTTAGAAGCTGGAATCATTGAGCCTTCAAATTCAGCCTACTGTTCACCAGTAGTAATCGTGAAGAAGAGGGACAGCTCAAACCATTTCTGCATAGATTTCAGGAAGATGAACCTGTTGACGAAATTCAATTATGATCAATGGGAAACCCAGAGGCTATCATGGCGAAACTAGATGGGGCCAAGTTTTTTACCAAGATCAACCTCAGGAAACGTTATTGGCAGATCCAGAGGGAGACAAAATTTAGAGAGAAGACAGCTTTTGTGACACCGTATGAATGCTATGGGTTCAAGAGAATGCCATTTGGGTTAGTCAACTAAACAGGGACATTCAACTGTATGATGAGGAAAATGTTGCACAAAACCACCAACATTGAGCATTATGTGGATGACATTATTGGACACAAGGTGGGCGACTGACAGATAGCCATGGAAGAGAAGAAGCTAATCCACATACAAGATGTACTAGCATCGACAACCAAGCAATAAGTCAGATCCTGGGGTTAGTAGGATACTCTAGGGAGTTCATCCCAAATTACGCTGAAGTCACTGCACCACTGTCTGACTTGACCAAAAAAGGCTAACCTAAAACGTGAAGTGGGGAAAAACCACAATAGATGGCATTCCAGGAATTGAAGAATATATTAGGAAGTTCACCAATCCTTAAAATGCCAGACTGCAACAAATTATTCATCATTCAGGCTGACGTGTCAGACGTTGGAATTTGAACAGTACTTCTGTAAGAACATGAAGACAGACTGTCTCTCATAATGTACATTGATAAAAAGCTCTTGAGTATTGACAACTACTACTCTGTGATTGAACAAGAGTGTCTGGCCATCATATCTGCCCTCCAAAAATTCCAGAACTACCTCCACAGGAAGGAGTTCATCATCCAGACAGACCATCAATGCTTTGTATACATTCAGAGGTGCAAAATCAACAGTGCGAGGATTATGAGGTGGATGCTGTACCTCCAGAACTACCGGTTCCATAGAGGCCATCAAAGGGACTGCAAATGTTGGTGCAGACTGTACGAGTAGAATTTGTCCATGAACTGAAAACAATCTTTGTGTATTGTATAAAAAAATATTGTAAATATTTTCCTTGAAGAGAGGCTTATTGTTAGATATAAATGACTGTTTCAGTTTAATGCAAGTATCATAATTTAGTTTATATACCATGAGTGTTAAACTTAATTATTTCTAAAAGCAATAGTTTATCACAGGTTTGTTTATGTAACTTTTTATGAATCATACATTTTGTAGTTCACTAGTTATACTTGGCGATTGATATATTATTGTGTCATGTTACTAGAACCTTCTAAGATTTTCCCACTGTTTTAATTGAGTACTATTACATCATAACATCTCATAGTGTGTGGAACATTCCAGGCCTCTTTTGTGGTATACATACATGTCAAACATTTTGTTTGGTAGGTAGATAGATCTAGACTGCATGATTATGAATTTAGCCATAAACAAGCATATAGTGGTGATTTTTAAAGTGAAATTATCATAGATTGTATTGTATAACAGAGTACAGAAGAATAATTTGTCTTGTAAAATTGTGTTCTAAAGTAATTGAACCAGTCTGTATAGACTTTGACAAAAAAAGAGACAATTATTTCAAGTTCTGGATATAACTGTGATAACCAGCAGTGTAATGAACATTTGTATACACATTTGACTTGTTTTTATATATTATTTTAAAACAAGTGTACTTGTGCTGTTTGATTATTGTTGAAATTTATCACCAACAAGTCACAGACACTTACTGTAAAGAATCTGTCCCATACATAAAACATGACATATACTGATAGTTTATTTAAGGTAAAATAAATTAGAGAAATTTATACATTTTTTTTCAATTTCAAATTTTTGAAATTTTAACCTTCATTTTTTCATAAAAAATAAAATAAAATGGAGTAGTATTTTTTACATCTATATCTAATTTAGTTAGTTATACCCCAAAAAAAAAAAAAAATTACTCCTCAAAGTTCATTACAGTTAGCTATGTCACATCTTTAGGATATTTCCTTTAAATTCTATGATGCAGTAGCTTCATAATACAGTAACGACATTATTTTTATATCTTCACACGTTTGGTCAATTTTGAGGATTAGAAAAAAAAAAGCCATTAAAAACTATTTTATATTAAGTGGTTAAGATGGCATGATTTCTGAACTAAATGCTTCATATTTTGTGTCTATGCAAAGGGCCAAAAATAGCATTTTATCTGTAGAAATAGTTTACAGTAGTTTCAATACTCCAGGTAACAACCCCAAAGTACATCAATTTATGTCATACAAATAAAGGCAGCATTATCTTGTATAAAATCAAGATTGAAATATAAGAATTATACACAAAGAAAACTAGATTTTTCAATTATATTTATATCATTAATATTTGGTAAATCATAAAGCAATTTTAGCACTTTAAACGATGATTTAATTATTTATAGTTTTTCATTTAATTTAAGACACTATAACGTTCTAGTTAAGTATATCACCTTCCCCAAATTGAGCACATGAATCAAAATATAGTAACTAACCTGAGATAATCCTAAAAGAAATGCAATACTCAGTGTTGTGTCTTCTTGTAACAGCAGCTGAACAAGTTCAAGTAATACTAGGATTGACAGTCAATAAAATATTGTATTAGCCAGAGTTACTCCTAACAATGTTTCTTTAACAATAAGTTTTGAAAATAAACCATTACTTGAGCACATATTAAATTATTCACATTTTCTAATTAATATTACATGTAAATCAGATAAGTAAAACTGTTTTTCCAGTACTGTCCATTTACAATAAACTAACGTGACTTATTTGTTTATTAGGTCATATCCATTCATTTGTATTAAAACCAAAATTGTGAAGATCAGTCTACATTAAGGTCAGTCATGTACAAAATTCAAAGCAATGTACAAAAAGGTGAGATTCAGAACATCTGATATAAAATCTAGATCCACATCATATACAATTTAGAACAACCACAGAACACACGTAGAATCTATAGGAAAGTAAAACAACAATGTAGAATCCAAAATGGAGCAGATAAACAAAAGAAACAAAGTAGGTATTAAATCTAGAACAATGTCAGTCATGTAATGATCTAGAATAAAATCAGACACTTAAGGAAGCTAGAATAATGTTATTCAGGTAGAAAATTTAGATCAATGCCTGTTGCATATAAAACATATAATAATGACAGACATGAACAGAATGCAGAGCAATGTACTAAAAGCAGTGTAAATTGGGTATCTCGAATGATGTCAGTCATGTACAGAATCCAGAATAACATCAAGTAATACTAGGCTTTGGCAGTCAATAAAATATTGTATTAGCCAGAGTAATTCCTAACAACATTTCATTAACAATAAGTTTTGCAGAATATTGTCAGACATATGTAGAATCTAGGAAACAAAAGATAATAATGTCAAGTGTGTAGAATACAAAATAATATTAAACAGATATAAAACAAAGACAATGTCAAGTAAGTACAAAATCCAAAATAATGTCAGACAATTACATAATGTAAATCAATGTTTGACAGGTACAGCAAAGTCAATCAACATTATATAATACAAAATAATATTAAAGAACAATACCAAACTATTTAAATGTCAAATAAGTATAGAATGTATCACAACATTAAATAGGCATGGTTGTTAGTGCTTTGGACTCATACTCAAAAGGTTGCTGGTTCATGTGCCACGTTGTTGTGTCCTTGTGCAAGTGTTGACCTGTTAATCCAACTGCTTCAGTCTACCCAGCTGTATATTGGGTACCAGCAAGTGGCTGGGGATTAACTTTTGATGAATTGGCATCCCTTTCAGTGAAAATGTGTCACCATTCTTATATGTTTATTCTACATGACACAAAAATTGAGCATTGGCTTTATGTGGCTTTCAGGTGCAAAAGGATTAACTTACTTAGAGAGAGAACAATGCCAAAGAAGTATAACATCCGGAATAATATCAACATGTAGAGAATCTATAATAATGTTATAGGGGTAAAGAACCAAGAGAAATCCAGAGTAAAATGATATGGTTATAAAATCCAGAACAATGTCATACAGATTTTTAACAATGTTAAATTGGCATACAATTCAGAACAAGGTAAAAAATATGCAGCAATATAATATTCCTAGGGAAAATAAATACTTACCTTCTGAAGATACCTCACAGCTGTGACTCTCTTTCAGAGTGCTTTCTAGCAGAGCTGCACGAACTAAGGAGACAGCAACGTTAAAAGATGGGCTTAAGTCAGGGTGAGCATACCTGGTGTAAGTTGAATTAAACTGGAAGAAATTTAAGTACAGTTATTTTTATGACACTTTTACCTCAACCAGGATAGGATGTGATTAATGTAGACAGAAAAAAAGATTTTACACAAGGTAAAAGAATGAAAATATTCAATCATTAAATCACTCGGTGATTAACTGGTTATAATAGAATATTTACTAATTACCTTGTCATGTTTCAAAAACAAGTTCAGCTTGATGGCCCTAGATTTTTAACGGTGTTAAATTGGTATATAATTCAAAACAATGTCAGGGAGATAAAACATATGCAGCAATATAATATTCCCAGAGAAAATAAATACTTGCTTTCTGAAGATACTTCACAGTTGTGACTCTCCTTCAGAGTGCTTCAGCAGTTAATTGAGTAGTATCTGAGCAGTTACAACCCTTTTAAACCTACAAACCTAGCTGAACTTTTCACCAATTGGAATTCACCTGACCTTATGTTTTCAATCCGGATTTTTGCCATTGAAGGTCAAGCTCTTGACCATTCTGGTCATCTTTTTTTCCAACAAGCCAGTCATTATCCTGCATGGTGCCTGCTTAGATATTAAAGTTAACATTTTTCTTTCATACAAAGCTATCTAGTTCTTCTTCTGCCCTCTAAGCATTGGTAAAACATTTTTTGCAATGAGTGCACCTGTATTTATACCCCATTAATATCGTGTCATTTCTGAACATGTACGTATCATGTGATTACTCTCCACCAATAATATTGCACCACCTATATTGGCACAGCCAGCTCTCTCTGCTATTCCTGCTCAATCTTTACTTTCAAGAATTGGCAGGCTACCAAAAAAGGAAACTGGCAGTGAGAAGGAAGGGTGTGTAAGAGGAGGTAAATTCCTATCAGAAATATATTTTCAATGTAAAAAAAATTTTAACTTGTGATACAGTCTTACTGCTGCTCACACAAAGCTAGAATTGCACACTGCAAAGGGGAAGGGGCCAGTGTAGGTGCACAACACAGAAATCAAGTAGAAAGTGACTGCTCAAAATAAACGGGTTTGCTCTGAGATTAAAATGAAGCACACATGGGGTACAGCACTACCTCTGGAACAGGTATGCTTTTCGCCTTTGAAGTAGGAAATTAATCTGATACGAGTGAAAAAAGAAGTGCACAGATGCAATTTGTTCTGAAATGTGCAATCCAAAGTAAAATATAAACAAATTTAGCTATGTACATCCTCAACTGGACAGACGCAGTTTCATAACTCATCCTTGGCATTAGAATATTGAGAATCAAAAATAAAATATAACAAATGTAATACAGGGAAACATAAACATAGTGGTTAGGGCATGTGGACCATGTTATATAGGCTCATCAACACCTACCTTAAGTAAACAGAGTGGCATACATTAAGCAACCAGAATTATGAAGAGGAAGTTAGCACTGGACAAACTCTCAAAACAGCCATAGGAACAAGAAGTACAATAAACCAAACCTGGCATTATGGGATCGTGGTGTTGCCTCAACCCAACCGTAAAAACAGAGCAATATCTGTAACCAGTATTATGAGCAGAAATGATAAATCACTCAACTAAAAATGCAGGGAAGAGACATCATTCATGTGGAATTACGAGTAGGACATGGAACATTTACTCAACCATAGGAACAGTGTACATACATCCTGTAGCCAGCATTAGGAGGCAGACAAAGTCCCCCAATCTCAACCGTAGAAGTGGAAAGAACCTCCTGCAACTGGAATTAACTCTTTCAACCTGGGCTTAGTCCCTCAGACAGGCCTAGTAACCATTTTGTGCTTGTTATAGTTTTCATGCTATAACTTTTAAATTAGTAAGCAAATGTTAATGAAATTTGGCAGTTTATCAGCAAACATTACAATGTTTTCATACTTAAAATATCTATTTTTTTTATTAAGTCTTAAGGTTTGTAAAGCAATGTTTCTCTCATGCCTCTTTTTATTTTCACATGTTGCTATCTATCATACAAAATAATTTTTATTTTAAGATTAGAAATACTTTTATGCATCAGAAT